CCTGATATTAGGGATCCCATTGGAGTTCAGTTCAGCTGTTGACATATTTGCCCATTGAAAGTGGAGTATTTATCCATGCAATAGTCCAGCAGTTTGCATATGCTTTCAGGTTTTATGGTTGCCCTGGCGAAGTTGTAGTTGATTGAAGTGAACAGCAATGTGGCATCAAATGAAAGCATGACTTCATCGTCTTCTATACTGACGCTTCGTAAATTGCGTAGGAATTGACCTGCATTTGTGATTGTGTGTTCCGATCCGGAAGCCAAATGTCTCAATCTACTCGATAAGTCTTTTACTAGTTTGTACGATGGGGTTCCGGAAGTGAAAGTATGGGTCTAAGTGGAGTTCCATCTTTATGCACCTTTGGTAGTCCGTAGACTTGTACAATGTTGGTATCATCGGCTTTTACTTTCCATCGTTCCTGCCTGGTTGTCTCGTGTGTTGCTTGCAGTCTCTTGATCGATTGATGATGTGTGAAGTTGGATCATGATCGATTGGTTTGTAGGTCGTGTTGTCATTTAGCATTTGCTTGGCCTTTTCAGTGCAATTCGGCGTGTCTATTATCACCGTGATGCTTCCTTTGTCCGCCGGTAGTATTACGATTGTTTCATCCTTTCGTATATTTGTGAGTGCCTCCTGTTCTTGTTTCGAAATCAGTTGCATTTTTCTATTCCGTGTGATCGCCGGAACGGTTGTCTGTCGGATTTGTTGTTGTACCTCCTCGGACATTCTGTTTGTTTGAAGGGGCGTGTTCGAAGCTGGCTGGGTAATCTTTGTAAGAAGCGCCCTCGACGTTGCAGTTGAGCCTTTCATTGGCAGTTCTCCTTCAGCTGTGTTGAGTTGACGGCCAGATAAGTTCCTGCTCCAAGCGTCCTAATTGTTGTGTTTGTTGTTCCTCGTTAGCTTGCTCAATTTTCTCTCCATGGATGCTCTGCGTTTGATTTTGAATTTTTCTACTCCGCGTTCGATTGCTATTTCGAGTTTTGCTAAGTGTTGTGGACTGGTTTTAGCCAAATATTTTGTCCTGCTCTGGCCCAACCACTAACCCACCGCTACGCAACACTGCGCTCCCCCATAACGTACTAATGACTTCACCCGATTATTAATGAAGCGTTTGCATTCGAGTTGTCCAGCTCAGTTTACTAACCAATGAAACAACAGCACTTTTGAAAAACCAAATGTCGACATTTGGGTTATCATGAGTGGAGCCAAAGTACCCTGGATAGTATTTGCTTTGATGAATCGCTAAAACGAAAAAAACACCTACATTTCGCTCAGTTCCCTTGCTCAAACGTGTTTCACCGCTTTTCATCACAATTTCATGCGTCCGTTCTAAATATTGACTGCTCAAAATGCATAAAACTACTCAGTCAAACGAAAAGCGCGTATGTTTATGGTTACGTTACGTACTCTTTGTCTATTAGTCCCTCCGAATTTTCCGTGTCAGCAAAATGCTTTTGGCAGTTTTGTAAATTCGTCGGGCCTCCCGGTTACCTGCCTATTCCACAAGTAGGAACTTGAGCTGTAAGTAAAATCAAACAGACTACGTTTGGATGATTAAAGAACGAAACCGGCAATTTTCAAAGAGTAATGAACCATGTCCTTTGTCAAGCAGAGTTGGAAGCTAGCATCAAATTAAACGTCACCGTGCCTTTTGTCGGAAGAAACTATCGTTTGCCACTAAGCAGAGCCAGGTCAATAGAAAAAAGCTTATGCCCCCCTAAATAAGTTTCAATGGTAAACCAGGTGGAAATCAGATTCGTTGGTCAATGAAGAAAAGACTAGTTCATCAGGATGGCAATAGGAACGGGTTGAAGAGTTGAAGTCTGAAATCACAAAGTTTTATATGGAATTCGTTAATAGTTGGATCTTCATGTGAGGACAAGTTACAGGATTTCTAGTGTATACTTAGGGACGCTTTATCATGATGAATCATGGGACATACGATCCCTACAGTTTCATTTTCGACGGGAAATCAGAACGGCTTGCTGCCTTATGAAAATGAGTGTCCACATACGCTACCATTGCCATTTTTAGGCGAACTAAGTAGCACATTCAACCGGAAGTACTAAAATCATTTCGAAAATGACTGACAACTTGAAGTGGGCATGTTGCTTTTCGATTCATTAGTTTTCACTGACCTTCCTTCTGTAAGATTATTTGTGCGACAAAATGTCTTTCTAATTCGTGCGTCAAAATGTCTTTGTAATTTGCTAAACGTTAGTAATGTCTACGTTTGCGCCAAATTCTGCTTCAGCGACCGCTATTTGTGAGTAAACTGAGTTCCTCGAATAAATCTGTTGAGTATGCATGTGCTGCCCTTTTTGAGAGCACATTAATACAGCAACTGGTGGATAGCAACCATTGTTAAAATAAACACGACAGCCTGTGGACCTAGTTTGGCGGAACGATGGACAATTATGTCAACAGCTGAACTGAACTCCAATGGGATCCCTAATATCAGGATTTATTGCTGAGGCGGTAATGCAAAGGCTAGAGCATGCGGTACTGCCGATCATAAACCCAAAGCTGTGGATCCGCTACGTGGACGACGCCCTCGTCATCATGAAACGGGATTCAGTACACGACTGCTCAACACCACTTTTGAAGATATCAAGTTTGCAATCGAACTCGAGAGAAACAATCGATTACTGTTTTTAGACGTTTTAGTAAACAGAAAGGTGGATGGGATTCTGGAAACCTGCTTATAACGGATGGAGACCCATACGGATCAAATGTTGAACTACAAGAGCAATCATCCAGTGAACCATAAGAAAAGCTTCACTCAAAACTTGTTCAAGAGGGCGGAGACACTGCAGCACCACAGAGCTGTGGAAGAAGGAAGAAATCCATCTATTCCGAATATTTCAGAACAATGGATATCCAAGGACTTTTATCATAGAAGCTTGGAGAATAAGACACCTCAACCACAGCAACAGCAAGAACAAGCCAACAGACGGGTAGTCTTGCCTCACATCAAGAATATATCCGAACTCGCAATCACATTATTGGCTCAAAAAAGAAAATTAGTGGCCCACAAATCGAATGCCACCCTAAGAAAATTTATCTCTAGACCGAAGGACAGCCGAGACAAAACCGAGGAGAACAATGTAATCTACCAACTCAACTGCAACAACTGCAACAAATTCTACGTCCGACAAACTGGGAGGAGACTATGCACACGAATAAAAGAACACAACGCGGCCGTCAGGAGACATGACACTCTGTCCTTGATATCTATACTCGAGGGCCGATGAGGCGAAAAATTCAATCTGGAAAACGTAAAAATTTCGGCATACGAAGACACGAGACACGGAAGAGAATTTCCGGAATCATGGTACTCCACGGCAGATTCGATCAACCGGTGCGTCAAACTGGATCCAGTTTGCGCACCCCTATGAGGACCGAATATTGGATTAGCAAACAAAGAATCAAGGAACTCCCTGGAGGCAAATCAATAAAGATAACGAGCCGGGACTCGAAAGAACAAAGGTCACTCCAGCATTGACCAGATTACGACGGCGGGGGATGCCAAGCTCTAAGGTCACGTGGGCATTGGCGAATGGGGACACAGGACAACGGAGCAACCAATGGAGGGCACAACCTCTAGCCCACAGCTTCGCACCATTACGCTCCCAACTAACGCACTGATGATGTCAACTCAATTGGTGATGAAACGTTTGCAATCAAACTGCCCATCTCAGTGAACTACAGTTTGAATATCCCGTAAAAACAAACAAGGTAATTTGGTTACAGCCATGCTTTCTCCCTAAGGTAAACAAAATCTGAAGTCTCTGTTGTGTAAGCATTTTGGCATGTAACTGTTAGGTATCCCTTTATGCAGAAAAGTCATATTTGCTAGAAAAACGTGCGTTTTTACGCGGTTTGGTTACATGGTCAAACTTATTCGTATGCTTACTATTCTGTTACTGTCGGGGATTGTTTATTATTTTCGCGCTTTTTTATGAATTTAAATGATAAGTTTGCACGAGCAATCAAAATGTATATTTGTTTTCATTCTCGTGAATAATCTCGGGATTGCGAAGAACGACCTGGACTGTTAAAATACCCAGACTGAAAAGCAGACTATGGATGAATGTTCCAAGACTTCCAGTTTAGACTATCTACGATGACCCAGCTATCTGCCGCTGATTTCTGTCTACCTTCGATGTTTCAAAGTTGGTCAAATATCGAACCGAATCTCATAAATCAAAGGCGTCACAGCTATCTGGTTACATTGCTATATCCAATTGTTTGCGCCCACAAACCTATCCGATCAGCAAACTTTATCCATTTTCCTATTTTGAATAGGCAATATACTTTGCGACAGATTTTCATGGTTTCAATATGTGGTCAAAATTACAACTGGAATAACGAAATAGTTAAAATAATTTGCCAAAATTCTTACTTTTTCCAAGAACTGTTAAGTTGAATTTAGAAATGCATCACATATTCAATAATATTCTCAACGACTCACGTTAAAAAACATTTTGGGTATAACGAATTTGTCCGAACTTCTAATGCATATGACTTCATACACTCGCGTAACTTTGGAATTTTTGAGAGCACTTTCTGCAACAAGCTTTGTCGAAATCGAAGCGCACTGGACTGGGAATTTTTCGAGAGCACTTTCTGCAACAGGCTTTGTCGAAATCGAAGCGCCCGAACTGGGAAAGAACAAGAGCATTATAGTGACGTTGAATAACCTCAAATGAAGTTAATACTATGTTCTATTTTGAAGTAAAGCGGAACGTCAAACGAAAGGTCAAACAATTTAGCCGCACCCCTATTTTACAGCTTCCGCTCAAAACACGACGACATAACTTTTTGCGATTTTCATGCGTGAGTCTGAACTCGTCTGATGATTAAATCGGATGATCAAAGCAAGTTGATCAAGAAAGGGTGACTTCGCTCGTAAACAAAGTTTTTTGCATATCTAAACTATAAATATACCAGTTTAGGCCAGGAGCATGTCGGAATTCGAAATAGGAACTTACGTTGCTTCAAATCTGAATTCCAGATTTACGGTGGAATGACAAGGCATTGCTCAGTTCATCGAAGTTTTGCCGATAGTCATGAGTTAATGAATATGGTCGGTGTAGTCGGTCTATATTAACTGCTAAAGATTGTCCCCGCTTAATCTTCATGTAACACCTTGCAAGGTTTCATATCAAATGGCTTCCCATTGTTCCTGAAAGGCCGCTGCATCTCTCGCTTGTGATGAACAATTTTTGGTTGTCTGGTGTCGTCTAATTAAAATGACTTAAAAATTTACTTAACACAGTGCAGACGCTCTGGAGAACAGTAGATGCGCCAATTATTCCGACTTGAGCGCACAAACCAGCTAGCATTAGAAAAAAACATTAGAAACAATAATAACATTCATTTTACAAGCACGGAATCAGCCCATTGGTAATTTTATTACAATTTCTACCACTCACTAGAGAGAATAGCATGATGTAAAAAATTCCCAGCCATCGCATAACGAACAATGGTAACCGCGTTGTCATCTGAAGAGCTCATTGTTGTGTCAACAAGTTTAATTGCTCTCATCTGAGTCGTCTCAGTTTACATCTTAAACGTTTAGTGGAAGCTGTGCCACAGCAAGAAAAGCATGTGGTGAACAATATTCTTCGGCTTTGAAGCCTAGAAGCCCAACAGTCGGCCATTCGGTAAGACGCCTGCACTGTCCTCAAAAGCTACACTCTTCATCGGAACGCGTGTGTATC